GTACTTACGGTAATTAATGTACAGTAGAACCCCGGTAATTCGAATTCTGAAGGGGAACGAAAAACAGTTCGAGCTTGCGAGGGGTCGAGTTATCGGGGTCGATTTAAAAAATTAATTTGTCAGGTTACAATTACATTTTTAATCAAGGGAAAAGAAAATTGAGTTCGAGTTAGCAGGAAATTCGAGTTATCCGAGTTCGATTGCGAGTTAACCGTGTAAAGATGATTGTCGAGTGGAAAGCTTAAGTGGGGTGAAATTCAAGGGAAATTGGACTTAGTTTAGGGTTACTGTTGCTGTTCAGTAGACGCTGTGAACGTTGACATGTATATGAACCACGTGTGATTGTACAAGTAGAAAATGATTTCACCTCCCCCGTACATTGTAGTTCAGTTTTTTTTAATTGTTTTGCACAAGTGTAACAGATGTGTGTTTAGCGCGAATAAGTTCAGCTTTAATTTCTTGTAATTACTGGCGCCACCTTACTTTGACTGTCTATTAGCGGGACACTTCCCTTAAATAGACGGAGAGTCGGGACGGGACCAGAAGGTATCTGTCTTAGAAAGAATTGGCTGTATTCTTATAATGATAGTGATAATGACAATGACGATAATAATGAAATAATTAATATTATTATTATTATTATTATTTTATTATTATCGTCATTGTCATTATCACTATCATTATCGTTATCGTTATTATTATTAAATTATTATTATTTTATTGTCATTTTCAATTATTTTATTATTTATTAATATTAAATTATAATTTATTACAATTACAATAGTTGTTATATTTATTATTGTTTTGCAAAGTTGATAAAATGCGGTTAGCTTACAGATTGAAATTTTCTGTTCATATGTGTTGCTGCTTTCCAGTTTGTCCCGTTCCGATGAATAAAGAAGAAGAGGAGTTTATTAAAGAGCGGGAAAGGAACAGAGAACTAATGGAAGAAATCGCCAGAGAAATTGAAATGACCTGCTCAGGTAAGTTAAAAAATGAAAATAAATAATAATATTAAAAACCTTGGATGAGCAAGTCCTTCCGCGCGAATTGCACGCCCCTTTGAATAGTTAAACCCTTTGGGTCAGTTGATTGTGTTCTATATGGAACAATGCACAGTTTGCATTTCTAAAGCCACTTACCCTTTTAGTTTAACCCATTTAGTTGTTAAGCAGCAAATCCAGGAAGTTATACATACACTATCTATAGGTAGCTATTTTGACTCCGAGGGAAATAACCCACCCAGTCCAGAAAAGGTTGGCCACACCACCGACCGGGGTTTACGTTCAATACTCTTTCCAGTGTAGTGGTGTGGGTTCTTTTAGGTCGCACAAGTACCAGATAAGTCCTGTCGGACCTACGGGTTTTATTCCTTATCCGAGAAGACTACAAAGTCTAACCGTTTTCAGATTTCGTTACGAAGGCAGCACTTTCTTCTCAGTTATTTAAAGAACCTAAGTGTTGGTCCGGCCGGGGTTTGAACTCGCAACCGCCCGCTCAGCAGACCGGCACTCTCCCGACTGAGCTAACCAGACGGCGGAGCTTAAAAAAAACTTGGAACACTGCTACCTTATTATGGAAATCCTGACTAATCTTGTGAGAGATTTAGACAAACATTTTGGGCAAAAATCCACTGCCAATTTCGCTATTTTCCACTACTCTTACCAGTTTGAATTCCTCCTATTCCGGAAAGCTAAATAGCCCCAATTCCGTGAGGTGAAAGGCTATAAGTTGAACTAGATATCTATAGAAAAAAAGAGCAAACGAGAAAGCTCCTGAAAACGCTTATGCTAGCTTTTTTTTCTAAAATAGCCCAAAATTTTGCGACTTGGAATTTAATGGTACCGATTTAGATAAAAGATTTCTAGTCCATGAGCCATTTTGTGAGAAGTGGGTAAAAATACAATACTTGTAGCAACCCCTTATGGAAAATTGTTTCGTTGTTATTAAATGAAGACTTAGGATGTGCTAAATTGTGATCGGTCTGTTACGTAACTTGAGACTTGAGAAAAATTGGGGGCTTATATTAAACGGTTGCGGATGACGAGAAACTTTTTCCCTTAAATAATGAAAGTATATGCAAATTCGAAGCCTTTGTCTCAAGTTATTAACCCCTTTCAATTCGATCAAGCTTTTTCAATTCATGGTGACAATTGAAACTTAGGGTGCGTTTGATTGCATGAGAAACCCGGATTTAAGTTTAAAGTCCGGGTTTTAGATTTGGCAATGGAACGCGAAATGCAAAACGGATTTCACCCTCACCCCCGAGAAATCCTTCCTCAAGTGATGACTTTATGGCTTTTCTTTATACCGTTCTAGTTGGAAAAACTGTTCTCGTGAACAGTGTCTTTTTTTTCTGCTTGTTATGGGTGCGCATGCGAGACAACTGTTCTCTCAAAAACAGTTCAAATCTTTTCTCGTATCCCCGAAATACTGATTAACAAAGGTCAAATTTCACTTGTATAGCAACCACATAGACCAGCAACACCATACGATAACAGGCCTTTAAATGTAATATTTTTTGTTTAGAGTATTTATACCAACGTTTTCTCCATGAATTTTAATCAAGAGATCATGATATCAGTTGTTTGTGCTTACGGGAGAAACGTTTTATAATTAACTTTTACTTGCTGATTTGTAGACGAGTGTAAAACAGGACTACATAACTGCCACAATGATGCATACTGCACCAACACCAAGCATTCCTTCACGTGTACTTGCAAAGCAGGATATACTGGGGATGGCGTCAACAACTGTGCAGGTAACATAATATGGAGCTGAAGCGAACAGGAATTTATCTTAAGTTATATGCTATTCCATGCCAAAAATAATACAGCCAAATGGAAAGGTAGAAACCTGTTTTCATATTCAGTCAGTGGTATGTCACAGGTTGTATCTACGAAAAGAGTTTTGGCCTTGGTACGTGTAAAGTTGTGGCCTCCAATTTTTCCCACAGAAATTAATAGCAACGGAAATAATTTTAACCGCGAAAAAAGTATATTTAAAGCCAACGCTGCAATGTACGTATGTTAATACCGCAAAGCAACATTTGTATTCTTGCTTTAACAAAAAGTAATAATAATAACTGCTACAACTTAACTGGTCGAGCTCGAACTGTATCCCCAATAAAGCACACAGGCTTAGTGCCAGTTAGGCTGGGGAAACAAAAAGTGTGACCGACATTTGTCTGGGACAGGAAATACCGAGCTCAAAGGCTTAGAAACAGAAAAAACTTGGGATCATCTTTGATATAACGAGATCATCTTCACTAATATACCTAACGAAGCACGAAGGCCAATAGCCAGCTAGGCTGTTAGAAACGGTTAGGGTGCAGCATTTAAGGTAAACAGGTGTTTATTACGATTGTGGCTGGGGGTCTGTAGCATTGCCAATTTGACTGCGTCAGTCATTGAATTATGTCGCCACTTAAGAGCGGTCCCGGTACAGCTGTTCTAAGCGTACATTAAGACTAAATACACAAGATAGGGAACCGGTGAAAAACGGCGCTAACCGTACAAATAAAATAAGAAGTGATAAAATTCAGAAAAATGGCAGAGCTGAGCTGCCAACAGAAAAAAATGCGGTCAGACAGAGGCCAGAAAAGAAAACCTGCCCAAAAATCCACGAAGGGAAAAAATGCGGGCGAAAAATCTGGATAGGAACCAAGCCTCAAGCTCAAAGACGTTTCTACGGGACTTTATAAGTTAATCGAAATAGACCGCTCCTAAAATAATCAAAAAAATTAAGAAAACCAAAGAAAGGTTGTTTCAGAAGCCGATATGACGTACACGCGATATTTATAGGTAGCCTTTTATACTCTCGGCATGGACAAGACAATGCCACACAGAAAACAAGACATTAACAAAAGACAATGCTACTTATGTAAAGTACAAGCGTCCTATAGCTAAAAAGCTAATCTAGCTAGGAGGCATTATAGATTATTTAAGAATATTTAAGAGGTTCTTTCATGGAGGCACAAGTAGAGAACAGGGTAAAAAAAATAAACAAACAAATAAACAAAGAAAATAAAAGAAAAAGACGCATATGTAGAGAATTGCATCACTGAAAAATTGATAAAGTGGAGAAAATATTGGAAAAGAAAGAACTTAATATGAACTACTGCCCCTGGCTAACACCCAGGTTCTGTGGTATTTGGTGACGCCTAAATAGTTATTTCTTATTATTAGCGGGATAATTCGTCATAAATAACGTAACTTGCAACATGTAAAACTTTGCTCAATCATTTTCACTGATTTTATCTGCAATTTTACTGTTGTTATAAGTGCCATCAATTGAATTAGTGTTCCTTGCCATTGCCTTATTTTAAAAACCGATTTATTCATTCGTAGACTACCAGTCTCGAAAGCATTGCATTGCTCTCTCTCATTCAATAGATATAAAACTGAAATAGAACTGATTCAGTTTGATAATTCAGCATTAAATTTTGATTTCCAGACATAAACGAGTGTAACACAGGAGAACACAACTGTGACGTCACTGAATGGTGCTATAACACTATAGGATCCTTCGGATGTGTTTGCAAGGAAGGTTATTCTGAAAATGGAGAAGATAAATGTACAGGTAACACTTCAAATCCCTTAACTGAAACACTCAGATATTTCGTAGCCACGTCTCTTTCAAATCAATTTCCTCTGTTCCAAAGTGGTTTTTCACTAAATTCGCCTCAATTTAAGTCTCGTTATTTTCCATAATACCTTTTACTAGTACTGATCGCAGAGCATTAAGTTCCTTTAATAAGTCTATTGTAATTTTAATAGGCCATTTTCGAGTTGTTGACTCGAGCTTCTGTCTTAAAACGAGGCGAAGTGCGAAGCCTTTTGATATGAAAATTAATTTCAAAGGAGAAAGGTTCGAGGATTGACCTCGTTTTGAAATGAAAATTGATCGCATGAAATGGCTATTATGGTAGGCCACAGTAATTGCTGTGAAAGAAAAAGGAAATCAGTTTTAATCATTCATTGCCTGACTTCTTTTTTGCAGATATAAATGAATGTGGAGCAGGAAAGCACAACTGTCATGCAAACGCTATTTGCAAAAACACTAAAGGATCCTTTGTGTGCACCTGCAAGCCAGGGTATTTTGGGAATGGAGTTTACTGCCCAGGTGAAAACAATACCTCGGTCTTCTTTATAATGAATTCCATTTATCTCGCATTAGAGCCAAGTTCAGCCACAAGGTAGTATGTAGCTTAGTCCGTGGTAGTGCAGTTTGTTCTTCTGAGCTGAATAAGTATATGGAAATGCTCTTGCATTATAAAAGTTTGTGATTTGCAGTATCTGTACGCAATTTTAGCCTTATACTTGAGATATTTAAGTTTTTTTTATGTATTATTATATTATCTTACATTATAATAACATCTTTGGATGACCGCACATGGTTGGTTTGAATGAATTTTTGCAGCTTTTCGTGCGAAAGCAGGGCAAGTGGTAACTCTCTCCTGTCTGGTATTGTAGTAGCCTTGGTGGTTCGGAGAAAGCAAGCAAGCGAATTTGTGCTGATCCGAGGATATACTATTAAACAGCTAAATACATTGATCGTTACGCCTATCATATAAAGTGCTGAGACCAAAACTGACTAAACAGTGTTTGCATGATTTATTAGGGGCTATTATGGAGAACGCTCTTTTTTGTACACGCTCACTTAGACAGTCGGGTAGGCTATGGTGGAAAATGGGCGAACAATATTCTAGTACGGATCTTATTCCTGTACAGTGGAAGTCAACAAATATCTTTACAGCTCACGCTGAACCAAAAAAAAAATACATAGAGGATATTACATGGCCGTGCGGAGATACGAAGTTTCTCTTCGAGTGTTGAAAAATATTTCAAGGGAGAGCCCAGCGAACGAGTGAAATATTTTTTCAACACGAGAAGCGAAATTTCGTATCTCCAAGAGGCCATGTAATGTTCTATTTATTATATGGATAAACACGAATGACTACCAAACCGCTTCACTTTAATAGTTTTTTGGTTTGAAAGGCGCGATTTATTATCAAGCCATAGCAACGGTGATATTTTCACATGTGAAGATATACATGATATGTTATTCACCGGCTGGGAGGTCCGTATTGGGAGAAACTGTGCCCGAGGTCTTGAGTACCGCCCGAAGCCGTAGGTCCGCCAGGGTTAGCGGGCAAGATCGTAAAAAACTGCCCGCCCTCGGAACCAATCAGATTGCAGCATTTGGAGGATTCCACCCGCTCGCAAGCTTAGAAAAAAATAAAACATGTTATTTTCACATGTGAAGATATCAAGTTTTCGCGTGAAAGCTCACCTGGTATTTCATTGGTGTTTATATAATAAAAACGCTTATTCACCAAATCAGTGGATAGCAATTTTCGCGCTTTCTGATCGGCTCCCGTAACGAGGAATATCCTTGGATATTCACTGTTTTGGGACGGGATTCTGCTTTTCTCGTTTCGCGATAGTTTCGAAAGATGAAATTTTAGCGGTAAATGAAGCAGCTGCTCCCCCACTATTCTGATCACCTCCCCTTCGGTGGATAGTTGTATATTATATAAACATTTCACTTGAGATTGTTAATAATAATAATAATAATAATAATAATAATAATAATAATAATAATAATAATAATAATAATTTCAGACCAAATTACACGACTCGAAGTTCAATAACCATTCTTTATTTTGTCTCGATGATATCCCTATATTCAGTGAATCAAAATCTTGGACATCTATGAACGTAAACTTCTTCCATTTGTAAATGCTTATCAACAAAATCATCAATCCGGCCCAATTGTTTACTTGCCGTTGCCCATTTGACCATCCTAACGAAACCTTGGAATCTATAAAAACCGTTCTGCTACACCCCTTACCCTGCTTACACACCAATCAGTAGCTCTCATATTTGATACCCCCCCACCCACCAAAAAAAAAATAATAATAATAAAAAATTTAAATTTAAAAAAACAAGCAAAAATTCCGTGACAATTCAGTTATTTAATCATTTCTGATGCTGCGTGATAAGACGATAGTCGTTGTGAAGTCTCTATTTTCTCATTTTAAGACAATTATAACAACTGGAATTATCGGCGTCTTTCAGTGTCGCGGAATATTCCTGATTCAATTTCAATATCTCTTGACAATTGATACCTTTTCTAATTCTTTGACTAAAGTGTTTATCTTAAAGGCAATGGCGATATCATTAAGGAGGCATTGATTCCCTTTGCAAAGGCAATGTTACATGAGACTATTCGCAACGACGATTTTTAGCGCAACACAGCGTTGCAGCATTTCTGATCTTGCAACATTGTCGCCATAAAAATTGTCGTTGCAAATCGTCTCCAGTAACATCGCTTTAAAGAGTCCTTGATCACAATCAGTCTGGTCTGTTGTGTCGAGGGATGATCTCAGCGAGAAGAAACTGTAACCTCCACAGCCTTGATTTCATGCATATGCTAACTCCTCGCCTTGTGTTTCGTCTGCCACAATGAAGCCCTTACTTCAGTTCTGATTATCACCCTAACTGATTATCAACTGGTGGGTTTTGATATTACTTTTTAATTATTTTAAATACAATTTGGACCGCAAATATTAGTATAGGTAATCATACAACTTCGAGTTCAATTTGGAATTTATTTGCATGAATGTCTTTTTCAAAAAGTATCAAAACACAGTGCATGAGCCCAATAGGACGAATGCAATTTAAACGCACGAATGCAAATAAATTCCAAATTGAATGAGAAAAGTTGCATGATCGCTTTTTAATAATATACCTAAAAAAATTACTTGCCTGGCTTTGTTTGAAAGCTTTGGATACCAGTAGCTGGCAGCACTTGATTGGTTCTTATATATTTTTATTGTCTATTAGCCAATCACAGTTTTCCATTCTCTAAGAAATTTGCATTATGTTTCCTTCTTTTTGCATTATTTCTCCTCCTTTTTTGCACTGTGTTTTCAGTTTACTAAAACGTGTACTGCTCTCAGCCAATCAGATTCAAGAAATGTTTTCATGTATATTATTAAATACAATACATTGTCATTATCAGCTTCTTGGTCGTTTACAACGAATGGACAAGGGCGTTCCGGCAGCATTCAGACTTTCACAGTGCCAAAAACCACTAGCTATCGAATCAGAGCCTGGGGAGCACGAGGAGGAAGGCACTCCACAAACTATGGACGTTATCCCGGAACTTACTACGGTGGAAAAGGTGCATACAAAGAGGGCACGTTTACCTTGAATAAAGGAACTGTACTCAATATTGTGGTGGGGCAAAGAGGAGGAGATTCAGTGGAAGTAAAGGGAGGATCGTCCACTACCTTGACAGCAGCTCAGCTGGGACGGTCCGTAGAGGACAATGCTGGTACCGGGGGAGGCGGAGGCAGCTTTATTTATACAACAAGTAACGTGCTTTTGTTAGCTGCTGGAGGAGGAGGGGGTGCATCTAGCGGGTATAACGGGGTGGATGGTCAGGCGGGTACTAACGGCACCAGTAGCGTTGGAAGGATTTCAGGTTATGTTCGTAGCGGAGGAACTGGAGGGAATCCGGGTCAGTGCAACCGTGCAGACGCTAGTTGGCATGGGGGAGTGGGTGCGGGATGGTTAGGCCAAGGTTGTTCCAGGGCCGGGTCCCAGCATGGTGAAAGGGGTGGATCGCGTGCTCAGGGCTGGGTTGGTGGTCGTGCTGGAAGAATGAATAGTGGCTACAACGGAGGGCCTCCCCCTGGGGCCGTAGGAGGGTTTGGCGGTGGCGGAGGGGGATCGGAAGATAATGGTGCCTCAGGAGGAGGTGGGGGATACTCTGGGGGAGGTAGCGGCACATACCCAAACCAAGCAGGCGGGGGAGGGGGCTCTTACTGTAGTGGCTCGAATTGTACAGGCGTGAGTGGAGGTAACTCAAATGACAACGGACTTGTAAAAATCCTGGAATTGTCTGTCTAAACCAAGAAACCAAGGCCATGATAAAAAGAGAAATCGTTTCTACTCTCGGCTTATTACTGATCATTATTAAGAGTGTCCTGTAGTAGAATATCAAGGACTTTTATGTATATTAATGTATTATCGTAATCCGCGATCGAATGCAATGAACGTTATTCAGCAGAAATAATAATAATCATCATCATCATCATCATAACTATAACAAAATTTTCAAATCTGATTGGCTATCAACTGTCCTGATTTCAGCCTTAATTGGACAGTTTAATAGGACAGTACGGCATACTGTATTTCGCGGACTGGACTGGACTGGACTGGACTAGTAAAACGCGGACTCAAAATTTGTAAAACGCGGACTCAAAATTTGTAAAACGCGGACTCAAAATTTGTAAAACGCGGACTCAAAAATTTGTAAAACGCGGACTAGAAATAAAAATAAATACATAAATAACTAAAATATTTGCTTTATTAAATGAATATATCTCTTCTTATATAAAACGTTCCGAATGAAACGTCAACAGGAACATAATCTGATGTCATAATCATACAGACAACAATTCAATTGCCGGATATTATACTATCCACTTTAAAACATTACTTCAAACAAAAAAACTTTAACATGTGATGTCATAATCCCGGCTCACAGACAACAATTCAACTAGACCATAGCGGCAAGCCTTTCGAAAATTACTTGCTTGTGTTCGGGTAGAAGAAAAGGCTGTAGATCCGACGGTATTCTGCATGAATTTGGTTGAAAGGCAGGGAAGGTTACCCTTATGCAATAAGGGTTAACATGATAATATACCGACGAAATATCTGGAGATGTGTGTTGACGTCCTTTTTTTAAATACTGACGGCGAAGTCGTGTTGTCAAAACGAGGTCATCGGGTGGAGGTGGATTGGTCCCGCCTGGCTTCAGGGTGTCGCCACAGCCATAGCATCGCGTGACTTTACTGTCGAGGAAAGATAATCTGGCAAACACTAAAATTCCTGGTAAGGGCTTTGGACGCTTTGGGGTTGGAGGCTGTCCGTTGGCTGTCCGTTGGCCATTTCGACGGTGTTCTTTCTCGTATTTGACAAGGTAAACTGAACCAAACGTACCGCTTCCGAGCTCCTTCTCTACAGTTACCTCACTCCATTCGAACTCAGGAAACTGTGTTTTTGGTTTTGGCCTTTTAGCGAGCGATGGAAGCTTAAAACAAGCCGCCATCTTCGCGCCGCCACGTGAAAATATATTCCGAATTTTGGCGCGATTTTACTGCTCAAAGGTCAACAAAGGTCAACAGCCTCGTTTCCGTTGTCGATGTCACTTAATCCAGTGTCACGTAATGACAATAAAAATTCAAAATCTTATGCTTCAGGTGTGGAGGCTGGGAAAAAGGCTAAAATAAAATATAATATGAAGGAGTGAATGCTGCGTGCGTCAGGAGCCCATAAATAATAGGCTCTTGGTGCGTGTAATAATGCGTGACAAATTTTGGCCTTCCCTTAACTGGGGCTCCTTCGGTACCTTTTCGGGCCTGTAAAACTGTTTTGGGCTTGCTCAATTGCATTTAAGATATCGATGGTGTGTTAGTTTTGAAAGTAACACAACAAACTATAACCTAGTCCCGAAACAAAATAGACTGGTTTGCAAGCTACGACCCCCGAGCTACAACCCAGCGGGGGATGTGTACTGAAACGTTCATGACGGGGTCTGACTTTATTTCTTTTATTTTATTTTTTTTAGGGGGGGGGGGGATTAGAAATGTGGGGTTAGAAATGTGGACTCCCGGAATTTTTTTACAAATTTTGAGTCCGCGTTTTACAAATTTTTGAGTCCGCGTTTTACAAATTTTTGAGTCCGCGTTTTACAAATTTTGAGTCCGCGTTTTACAAATTTTGAGTCCGCGTTTTACAAATTTTGAGTCCGCGTTTTACAAATTTTGAGTCCGCGTTTTACAAATTTTGAGTCCGCGTTTTACAAGTCCGCGTTTTACTAGTCCAGTCCAGTCCAGTCCAGTCCAGTCCGCGAAATACAGTATGCCGGACAGTACGCGTCATGCCTAAGTAATTGGACAGTACGCGCCATCACGCGCGCGCTTAAATGGCTTTTTTTTTTACTGCCAGCAAAACAAAATTTCGAATTCCTTGTGTTTTGATTTAAAAAATAGCCTATTATATCACAAATATTGTTAAAGTTATGATTAATTGGTAACAGAACTTCGTGTCGTCCAATTCGATCTGTAATCATACTCGTGATTAAACAAATCGGACTCCCGCTACGCGGTCGTCCGATTTTGTTAATCACTCGTATGATTACAGACCGAATTGGACTCCACTCAGTCCTGTTACCATAATAATAATAACAATAATAATAATAATGATAATAATAGTAATTATAATAATAATAATAAAGCCGATTTATCCTCAGAGTGGCTAAAACTATTTGTTAATAATTAGTCAGAGACATGAAGAAAAGCCCTACTTCACGGACGAACCATCCGTACCCTTGTCTTGCACTGCGCATTATCTAGTTGCATACTGTTGCGACATCATAGGTGCCTGCAATTACCATTGGCCGCCTGACAAGGGGAAACAAAACATTTTATTTTTCATTTGTCCAGTTAAAACATTTTGTTTGCGATATTAACCCCTCCCGGTCAAAAAGGTGTTGGTCTTGAGAATAGCCCTAGTCCCTTCGAGTAAAATGATCATTTGAAGTCGAAATTGCCGGCCTTTGTCGTCTTGTTGTAATGAAGCGGGCACTGTTTTCTCGGTGTTATTTACTCGTAGTGGGTACACACAAAATGATTTAAGGAGAAAAAAGTTGGATCGTATAGAAGTTAAGTTGTATTTTCATATAAGTTGCGTGAAACTATGTATCTGGATGCATAGAAGGGTGCAAAATGGTACTGCTGCGGTCTAATTTTGTTACATTATTTGCAAGATCGGGCAATTTGAAATCACTTAAAATATTATAGCCCAGATAATTTTGGTAGGCTCTGGAGGAGGAATTGGCGTCTAGGATCTTTCAAGAAAGCAATATGAGAAGCGCGGCGTCGTTTCGCTAAAAATCGGTCTGTTCGTGCAAGTAAGATGAGATATATTAGTATTATTACAATGATTATTACGCCCTTACAAAATCACCCATACAAATCCTTCTACTATAACGTTTTATGATCTGAGGCAAATTTATGAGAAAGTGTTTGGTCAAATATATCTAAATTCACGAAGAAAGCGTCCCTCAGTGTATCGTAACGAACTATATGAGATCAGGGATCAAAGGCCAAAAAGGGGCGGGATCAGGGAACACAGGCCCGGGATCTCGAGGTCACAAGCCGCGGGATCGGGATCAATAGTGTTTCGAGGGGATCAGGGATCCAGTATTCCGACAGAAAATGTTGAAATGCGGTTTAATTGGAGAGACCTGCCACCGTTTAAAAATCTCAGTTGTATTTTTTCTGTTACAATTTGTTCTGGCACTAAACCGTTTGTAACACGATTTGCTGGACAAGCTTGACGTGACCGAAAAGCTAGCGAAGCATACCTCACCGAGAGAGGCAAAACTCTTGAATCCTTAGGTATTAATAAGAAAGATGAAATGTAATACATTCCTTATCTCTTCCACTTGTGTTTATTTTCTTTATACTATTTTTACATTTCAAATTTCTTTCATATCACAACTTCAACGGTTCTTATTTTCATATACTTTCAACGTTCACCTTAACGTCTTAGCTTAAACTTATCATTGTGTTTGTATGAGAAGACCCTGAAGAAGGAGGGTCGTGCCTTTTGAAATACTGGTAACAAAAAATATATATTCCCTACTGCAAAATCAGCTATGCTTCTTTTGTTAATATTTCAACTTATAGCTGATTAGATCCTTTATTAGAATCTGGTCCTTCTTTTTTGTAACGTTGGTCCTTGCTTCCGAAATTGAATTTGACGACTACAAAGCGCGGATACTTTTCTTCGCGAATTTAGATATACTTGACCAAACATATTCTCAAAATTTGCCTTAGAACATAATTATTTGCCCGAAAGGACTGATTTTTAGCAAAACGACACGCTTTTTATATTGCTCTCTTAAAAGATCTTTAAAAATTGCTAGCAGTCTCTTTTACTCGAAAATCTGTGAGAACGGGTGCGATAATACGAGTGTGCAATCGCGCACGCGCTCTTACAGATTTTCGAGCAGAAGAGAGACCGCTCGCCGTCGAGAAAGATCCCAACGAATCCCGTACTTTACAAATTCTGAAAATCCTTTCAGGCGACTCTCTTATTGCTCATTTTTTTACCTTTGTAAATTTACGGTTTTTTTTTTCTTCTTTCTTTCTTTTTTCGGAGGGACAACCAAAAAGTGGCTGAAATGGTCATTTTTATTGTTCAGTTACAATCCTGTATTAAATAAACTCTTATAATTAGACTCCACTACCCAACATGCTAGACTTCAGAAATGCTATACAATTTCAAGGAAATGGAGGAGACCAGAGGTCTGCAAAAGCGAAAAATCGAAAATTCTCAAAAAAACTCACAAAGTAGCACTAGGTAAGCTGTTAACATAAATATAATTTTTACGTCGATCCGATAATTATTTTAGACGTACGGGGGGTTATCGGTTTCGCGGCTCTCGGACCGGGTTTTACAGTCCCGAGACGGTGTGTCACGAAAAAATCGTTTTAAAAATCAAATCAATTGTAATACGAACAGCAAATAACTTATTCAGAAAAGTACATAATTATACACATTTTAAGGGGTGATTTACTCAGTTTCAACGAAAATGTAATATTTTGGAGATTTTTCATTATTTTCAATATTTTGAACGTTTCCTTTCGATTAAAATATGGCAAATTACAAAGCCCAAAATCGTCGACTGGTACCTCGATTTCGGTAAAGAGTCTTCTACCACGTTAAAGAGCGTTATCTCTTCTTTCAAAATCTGTTTCAAAACTATGGGCAACTTAAAAGAAAATTTTTGAGGCCAAAAAATACAAGTAGTACTTTTCTGAAATTTGAGCTTTCCT